CCAGCTCCCGGAGGGATGGGGAGGAGAATCGAAAGAATCTAACTCCCTCAGGTTGAGATAAGAACAGTCCAGTAACTAAGGTATAACACAAATCACTACTGCTGCCACCAATAATAATAATGATAATGGGAATAACAAGGGAAGAGAATATAATTGCTCACCACCCACTGACGGACACCCAGCCCAACCCCGCATTTTCAGTATACCATCACTTTTATATATATCCATATATATATGTCCACAGAGAGAGAGATTATTCCTTAGTGCATGGACCAATTCCTATAAAGCTGCTGAGTCCATTCAGTCCATGATGTCGGGCTCCATCTCTTGTAACAGTCTTTCAGAGCAGGAGAGGCTGTGTGCAGTGTTCACACTCATGAATAACCCGGGCAATATTGTCCATTCCTAAGTCCACCCCTCGATCATGAGTCCATCTCTATGTTGCATCCCTGCCATGATAGCCTGAGGAGTCATGGGCCCACCAGGCTCAAAATAATTCACCCTCCCCTTCAGCAGTTTCTGCAATTTGTTGCTGGGGACTCCATACAGCTGCCTTCCATCTCTGATGCTTCCAAAGCACTGGAGGGGCCCAGTGGACTAGGTACTTGCCCAGTACAGTCCCACACACCCTGCCACTCATAACTGTCCAGCCTCGGGGAAAATCTCTTGGTTCTCATATATTGTCATCTAACCCTAGACAAGACCCAAACATGACTCCGCTTAACTTTCAAGATCAGACAAAATGGTCATGGATAAAACACACTCTGTATGTGTGCCAACATGGTGATCCCCATCACAATCAGCAGGCAGGTCTCAAGGGTACCCAAAAGCCATTCAAAACCCTCAGAACTTTCAAACGATGCTGCTGTACTTGCCACTGGGGCTGGTGTAGCTGCACTGTCTGCTGTAGTTGGAGTTTGAGTAGCTGCTGTACTTGTCTCTGGGGTTGGCGTAGTTGCTGTGCTTGGAGTTAGAGTAGCTGCGTTATCTGTTGTAGTCAGAGTTTGAATAGCTGCTGTACTTGTTGCAGGGGTGTGTGGGAATGTCTCTCTCACAGGCTGACCACCCAAGGAGGGGAAAAAAGATGTGTAAATGCCATACGCTTCTATTATATACCTCCCAAAGTATAGGAGTGGTGACCACACTCGGAATGCAAGCCAGATCAGTTTCATGATCAATGAGTCTATTGAATTACAAGTCATTACCATAAAGTACAATGAAACAAGAACCTTAGCTCAAGACCCTCAGCTGATAAACACTAACATAGCAAATACTGACTGTAAGTAAGGTACAACATGCTGAAATTCTGAGATCAAGAGCAACAACTTTGAGAGCCAATAAATCAGCATTGTGATGAGTGACTGTTAATCTGAAATAATGAATGCTTATACGATTAGACACACACCAGTCAGATGTATTGTTACCTCAACCCTTCGTGCCCCACACTGGGCACCACAAAGAACTGTAGTGGTTTAAGCCCAGCCAGCAACCCAGAACCACGCAGCCACTCACTCACTCCCTCCCCTTCCTCCCCCTGCTCCCGGAGGGATGGGGAGAAGAATTGAAAGAATGTAATTCCCACGGGTTGAGATAAGAACAGTCTAGTAACTAAGGTATAATACAAACCACTACTGCTACCACCAATAATAATAATGATAATGGGAATAACAAGGGAAGAGAATATAACTGCTCACTGCCCGCTGACCGATACCCAGCCCAACCCCGGCAGTGATCTAGCCCTTCCGGGTAACTGCCCCCAGTTCTACATCCTGGCCATGACATACTGTGGTATGGAATACTTCTTTGGCTAGTTTGGGTCAGGTGTCCTGCCTCTGCTTCCTCATGGCTTCCCCTCCTCCCTGGCAGAGCATGAGACTCAGAAAGTCCTTGGTCAGACTAAACATTCTGACCAGTAACTAAAAACATCGGTGTTATCAGAACTGTTGCCAGGGTGAAAGTCAAAACCATAGTGCTGCACCAGCTACTAAGAATGAGAAAAATGACTGCTACTGCTGAACCCAGGACAGGTGTGCACAAGTCTCGCTCTCAAAAAGTGTTTTGATAATCAAGTATATTGGTATAACATAAGCCAAGACCAATTAGCTTTAATTCCACAATACCTGTCCAGGTTGTGTTCTGAAGTAAGGGAAGAAGCAAAGTTTTCAGAAACAAATGCATTTTGTGTCTGATTTTCGCAGCTGTGTGAGATACCAATACAAGCATATCTCACTGTTTGCGTGTGTACAGAGAAGAGGTTTCAGGACAAATGTTGCTAATACTGGCCGCTAGTTGGCATTATTGATATATCCCAGTAAAACGGAGCTGGTGCAATAGAAACCCGTGAGGGCAGCACTGGGTGAGCTGAAACTTTCACCAGCTCTGGAGGGTGATGGGTTGCACTGAATTTGGTCAGAGCAGGCAGAAACCACCTGGGCACCACAGCCTTGTAATGCCTTCCCAGCTGACCCCTGCTTTTCCACAGTTTATTGCTGTCCATAGGTGCTATGCTGGGTTTCCAGTCAGAAGAAGCTGTGACAAGCTTTTAGCCACCACCCTGCCCTGGAGGAGCTTTCTTAGGGTGAAGACATCCCACAGGGGTTTGGTCACCACAGATGTTACGTAGTGTTTGGGCCAAAACAACAAATACTCAAGGTCTGCAGCATTAATAACTACAATTTGTAGATGTAGCAATAATTTACCAGTAACTTGCATGGAAGCACTTTGAGAGCACAAAGCTGCTGGGAGCCAGCTCATCTTGTGTAACCGATGGGTGTGTGTATTTTTGAAAGAGCCTTTTGTTATGGAGCTCAGTGGAATTAGACTTGTCTTAATCTTCTTTGACTGGGAGTAGATTTATGCCAGAAGACCTGATAAATAAGATGTCACTGACGAAACAAGTATGAGATGAGGTATCAGAGTGTTGCCTGAAGCAGATTTTGCTTGGTAAGAGGAGAGCAAGTCACCAATTCACACTTCAGGAAAGTAGGAACTTTGGAATAGAAGAGAAAAAGCAATTCCACACTCTGATCCACTGGATCTGCTTTTGGAAAGCTGGGTTGTGGGTCCACCCCTCGGCCACTGAGCCTGCAAAGAGTGTTCAGGGGCTGAAGGATCTCTGAGCAGCAAGTGCTTTTTAATGAGGAAATGCTGAAAAGTGTGTACCTAAGGCTAAGGTATCATAACTGAGATCTCAGGCTTGAAGAATAGCAGTGACCCACCTCCTTGTGTGTTTAAAACATACAGCTTGCATAAAGAAGTTTGTGAAATGAGGGAGAAGGTGTGCTTAGGAGATAGCTGCTGATTAGGGAGCAAGTGAGTTTTCTCCTTTATTAGGTTGTGCTATTTTTGGCACTACTTGGCATCTGGTTTCATTTTATGGGTCACATTTGCAAATTGTACTGTGACTGCATGAGTCAGTTTTACACAATGGTGTAAAACAACAGCCTTTGGAGTAGAAAAATGCTGAGCTAATTCCCAGTGAAACCCTTCCTTCAACTGACAGCAGAGGAAACACTTGAATAATATAAAGTAATTCACTCCTGCCTCCTCATGGGCTGATTAATATAATTTCATGTTGCACCTGTCCCATGTTTTTTTAATACAACTAAAACATGTATAATAATCTAAATTATAGATCTCCAATTTGCATAATACACTTTAGAAATACCGTGTTCTTTCACTACGTATTTTTTTTGGCGGACACAGAGCTAAAAACATCTTGATCGCAGCCTCATGGACAAAAAAGCACACTCGTGTTTTAGAAGATTGTGACCTCAGTGGAAAAAAAGCAGAAATATTGGTTTGAGAAGTAGAAATCTGAGAAGTCTCCCCTGTGAATATGGGTAATAACTCAGCTGCGTTGTTAACAGTAATCACAGGCACATGGTTTTGCCCAGTTTTTGTTTAGGCATTGTATTGCTTACCCACTTCTTCCTGCTTCTTTTGACCACGAGGCTTTGCCATCACAGTATGGTGCAACCTGTAAACAAAAAGATTTCTGTGTCTGTCTCCTGCTTATCACAGCCTTTGATACCAAAGGGAAAGATGTGACTCATCTCTGCTGTGAGTAACTGCTCACACACCCCTTCTCTCTGGATGCCGCACACGACCAAAAAAATCCCCATGCTCCCAAACTCGTGTCCCCAGAGCAGAGGCTTGGTAGGAGCGGCGTGGGTGATCCCATGCCATCTTTGTGCTTGGGCCAAGGGGTACATGCCAGAGGGGATACAAGCCTGCATCAGCAGTGGTGGGAGACTGAGGGTGGTGCTTGTGGTTTCCATCTCTGCAGCTGCACGAGAGGGTGGAAATTTGGGGTTGCATGCTTCACAAGTGAGGGCTAAAAGGCTGCAGGAGGCCTCCACAGGAGAGGTCAGGGTGCAAGGTGGCACCCAGCTCTATTCATCCCCGTCACAGAAACATAGGATGGACTGGGCTGGAAGGGACACAAAGATCATCTAGTTCCAATCCGCCTGCCATGGGCAGGGGCACCTTCCACTAGACCAGGCTGCTCAAAGCCCCATCCAACCCGGCCTTGAACACTGCCAGTGATGGGGCAGCCACAACTTCCCTGGGTAACCTGTTCCAGTGCCTTACCGCTCTCATAGTGAAGTATTTCTTCCTAGTATGTAATATAAATCTATCCCCTTATTAGCTTAAAGCTATCCCCCCTTGGTTCTGTCGCTACTGCTGCCCGTCTTCAGGTTTCCTTTAGGGTCCCTCCATGTCCGGGGAGACTGCTCTAAGGTCCCCATGAGCTCTCCCATTTCCAGGCTGAACAGAGACGATGATCCCCACCACGCCGCCGACGCCTGGTGCCCGAGCTGGGGAGCTGTGGAGCCCGGCCGGGGCGGGACGATCCTAGATCACGTCTCTTCATGTCGTGTCGCCCCGCCCCGGGCACGGCCACGTCCCACCGCCCCTGGGCGGGAGGGCGGAGCCACTATAAGTGCCCCCGCCAGTACAGCCTCGCCTTAGTAGCTGGCGCGTCGACTGCCTAAACCTGGCTGCGCCTGTGGTCACTCCGCCGCCCGCCGCCCTCCTCCTCCGCCGCCCGCCGCCCCGTGGCACCGCCATGATCGTGGAGAGCAGCCGGGACGCGGCGCCCGATGGCGGCGACGGCAGCGCCCTCAGTAGCCCCATCAATCTCACCTACTTCTACGGGGCGTCGCCCCACTCCAGCGAGGGCAGCTGCTCGCCGGCGCACTCCGGCCCTGGGTCGCCGGGCTCTGACTCGGACCTCTCGGTGAGCAGCCGCGGAGGCGGCCGGAGGGACCCCCGGGGCAGTGCCCGCCCCGCTCTGCAAGGTACTGCGTCCCCCCTCGGCGGTCCCGACCCCAGCGGGGCGACGGAGGGAGCGAAGCCGCCGCTTCTGCCCCGTCCCGTTCACACCGGCAGCGAAGCCGGTCGCGGACCCCTCTTGCTTTAAAAGCCCCGGAAGCGGTGAATAAGAGGGAGCTTCGCTTCTGGCAGGACCGTTCAGCCGGCGCTGCGTGTGCAGCGCCCGGTTCTTGCGGCAGTGGGGTCACTGCTTGACTCGATGGAGGGGGGAGCAGGAGCATCGCCCCGGCTTCTCTCTGTTGAAATAGGGAGTTCAGGGGGTTTTCCACGAGCGTTCCCGCTTTTCTTTGTTTGTTTTTTTTTTTAATTGTTAAAACGTGGAAACGGGATCGGTGTCTTGAACTCGGGGTTTGCATTCGTGTTCCAACAGCTGAACAGCACATGGGGGGCGGAAAGCAGCACAGGGGACCTTTCCAGGGGGTTCGTGTGAAGAACTCCGTGAAGGAGCTCCTGTTGCACTTCAGGAGCAGCAAACAGATGTCCTCGGGCTCCGCCACAGAGGAAGGCAAGGTAACCAGCATTTTTCAGCAATAACATAATTGCTTGAAATGCTTGATGAAGCTGGCAAACAAACAAACAAAAGAAATAAAAAAAAGGCATGCGATAATGCCAGAAAGGAGCTTGTTGGTTTATCTGGTGTGGATGGAGTCAGTATTTTTCCTTTTCAATACGTAATGGAAGAACACAGCTGGGAAGAAATTAGCAAGGGGGTTTATTGTGGGTGAAGGAGGCACTTGAAAATGTTTTTACTAAGCTTTATTCTGAAGGGAGTTTGGATAAAGATGTGTTTGTGTTACGAAACCACAGAAACTCCCTGCTAACTTGGATGAGCTCATTCATTGTACAAGTTGGGGAATCTTCTCAGAAGAAAATTGTTTGTCATGCTATTGTGCTCCTCTGTGAGAAACATGCAGTATAAAGGCAGACACCACCACCACCCCACCCCCCCCCCCGAAAAGACGAAAAACAATAATACAGGAAATTCTGGGCAGATTAAAGGTTTTTTTTTCTGAGTGTATGTTTGCCACAGGAAAAGTTTTGCATGGAAAAGCTCATGGCACTGAAGAAGTGTAAAATAGGCTTACTTATTTAAAAAAAAAAATTCTCTGACCTCCGTAAGGAGTGCTTTTCTCTAAATTTTCTTGAGTTTGTGGTATTGTAATGAATAGCTCAAAATAAGAAAAATATTTTTTGTTTAAGTTCCATGTTTCAATTTTTTAACCTTAATTAAAAGCAATTAAATTAGGGTTAAGCAAACATGTACTAGAATTATTCTAAGGTATAATCTATGTTTATAAAAGCAAATTGTTGCTGATTTCTTCTTGGTTTTGTTTTCTTTTCTCTGAAATATCGTAATAATGGAATAATCTGGATTTCTCTCAAAAGGCACAAGGAGGATTGGTGAACTATGACCAATACACAGGTAAAAAAATACCCTTATACATTTATACCTTTTTAAAGTTTGATTGTGAGAGTAACCTCCAAATGGGTTCTAAATCTATTTTCTGCTCAGCAGAGCTGAAGAGCATACTAGGTCACAGTGGCAAAAGAAAGGCTCCAGAGCTGCTTTCTGATGGACTGTCTTTTAAGCGCCAAGCTAATGTTCACCCACACCTCCTGGTAAGCTTTGTGTGATTAGTGGCTTCTAGAGCCAACTTGCCTCCAACTTTTGTGGTCTTGTTTGGATTTTCCTTTTTCTTTTTTATTCTTGGCAGACGCCACCCCAGACACCAACTTCTATGGATAACATGGAGGAGACTCATAAAAACAACCCAAAGCATGACAGCAATTCCGATCTTCTTCAGAACATTATAAACATCAAGAACGAATCAAGCCCCATTTCTCTGAACACGGTGCAGGTCAGCTGGTTGCCCACTGTGTCTAGTCACAGCTCACCTGGTGAGCAGTACCAGGAGAGCCCAGGGACACAGGCTTTCTCCCCATCCCAGAAGTACCACACATTCCAAGATCACACCTCGCAGCATATGCTTGATCCGCCGCAGCATTACCAGTTTCCTCCATCCCAGAACCAAGATTTGTCACAGACCTATCCTTCAGATGCCTCCTTGGAGTACAGGCCCTTTGCTGCCAATGACCAGTCTCCTGGCTACCAGCAGAGTACCTTTGAGAGCCATGAACTGCAGTACTGCCCATCACAGAGCTTCTCCTCCCTCTTGAATGACTCTGAGGGTTCAGAGGGTATCTTTGCTCCCCTCCAGCCACTGAGCAGTGCCCACCTGCAGCCTGATGTCAGCCCCCACCCTCCAAACTTTAGCTTGCTTTCCAGTAACATCTGTGGTAGTCTGGAGCGCAGTGTCTCTTTGGCTACTCTGAATGTCTCTCTACCTGACCAAAGCATCACCAGAAGCACGACTCGGCTGGGAAAGTCATTTTTTCAGTGGCAGGTAGAGCAGGAGGAAAACAAACTGGCCAGCATCTCTCAAGAACAATTCCTTGCAAAAGACTCTGATGGAGACACGTGAGTGCTCTTTACCTCTGCATTTCTGGTGTGAAAGACTGGGGGATGTGTCTAGGGTTTGTTGGATCATGAGCTTGTAATGGAAGCAGTTCATTAGCAGTGTTTGTGTCATGAGTGCAGTAGTTTCACCAAGTGAAAAGTCTTGCTGGTGGGCTGCAATGCACAGAATTGCAGCACACTGACTGGATAAGGTGTTTGTACTGTATAAATTCAGGTTCTTATCATTAGACTTTAACGTAGTAAATGGGGAGGAAAAGATTCTAATTTAGATGCTTTAAATTGCCCTGGGAACAAGGTATCTGTGTTCCTGTCTTAGTGATGCAGAGAAAGGCTGCATAACACCCCTCCCATATGTTTGGATCTCTGTAATGTCTTGATCTGTAGTTTGTATGATGGTGTAACTTTGTGTTTCACCTCTTTCCCACAGCTTCCTTCACATTGCTGTTGCCCAGGGCCGACGAGCACTCTCCTATGTTCTTGCAAGGAAGATGGCTGCCCTGAACATGCTGGATATTAAGGAGCACAATGGCCAGGTAAGGTTCTCAGTCTGTGCACCTGCTTGGTGCACCTGAGTGCTTCTGCATGTCTGGACCTTGGGGAAGATGTGGTGAAATGTTTATTTAATATTAACCCTGAGATTTAGCCTGCATACTAACATTAACCTTGAGCTATTAATACTTCCTGGGATCACCTTGAGCTGGTAAAACACTGTGCTCTGCTTCATTTGTCCTGGCTTCCTGGTATTCATAATCACTGCTTAAATAAAACCAGGTAGCTAGGCTTTTTATTTGTTTTAGTTGCTCTTTCCTGTTAGAGATCAGATGACTAATAGTTTGAGTTTTCTTTTTGATTTGCAGAGTGCTTTCCAGGTTGCTGTGGCTGCCAATCAGCATCTCATTGTGCAGGACTTGGTTAGTTTGGGGGCTCAAGTCAACACCATGGACTGCTGGGGTAGAACACCATTGCATGTTTGTGCTGAGAAGGGGCATGCCCAGGTCCTTCAGGTAAGACCAAGCAGGCATAGTTCTGCCCTGATGGTTAATGCTTCTACATTGTATTAGTTGTCTTGGGAAACTCTGGAAATGCCACTCCTCCCTTTATATTTCTCTGTGTAGCCTTGTGAGTATGTCTCAGGGTTCTATGGTAATGGCTTGAAGTGAGACTGAATTTCACAATCAAGTTCTCACTAATGTTTTAGAGTAATTTGGTGGAATCTTCTAGTCTATGAAAAAAAAATCTCAGTGCCATTATTTATTGTAACTTTGTTGCAGTAAGGCTGTATACAAGCTTGAGGAAGGAATATGTGGTTTGGATAAGACCTAAATGCATACCTGTTCCCCCTTTTGTAGGCAATCCAAAAGGGAGCTATGGGAAGCAATCAGTATGTGGACCTTGAGACAACAAACTATGAAGGTAAGTAGTTAAGAGGTTATAATTTACAGAGTTATAGGATGCTATAATGTTTAATAGCTGCTGATGTGAATGTTATCATGGGTTGAGAATCAATAAAATTGAGCATATCTTTGCCAGGTTGAATTTCACAATTACAGTTGAAATTACATTAGAATTGGCATATCTGTCAGATAAAAAAGTGGTTAATCTGTGCCTGTCAGGACCTCTTTCCTCTTACATGCAATTGCTGTGTTTGGCATGGAGAGTGTAGGTAATAATTGGCTATTATTTAAAATATTTGAGTGCCAGCAATGTGTCAGTGGGTGCAGAACCCAGAATCTTCGGCAGCAGAGATTCCATTATAACAGCTCTTTCTAATGTGCATGTGATGTTTTTTAATGTTAAGGTTTGACAGCATTGCACTGTGCTGTTCTGGCCCATAATGCTGTGTTGCATGAGCTGCAGAACAGTCAGCCACCTCACTCCCCTGAGGTCCAGGAGCTTCTGTTGAGAAACAAGAGCCTGGTAGAAACCATCAAGACTCTGATACAAATGGGAGCCTCTGTTGAAGCTAAAGTAAGTAAAATGGCTTGTCTGAAGCATTAGATCCAGAGAGAATGTGGGGAAAAAAACATGTCCTTTTCTCCTATGCCACATTTCAGTGTTATTACAAAGGAAGTAGACTAATTTGAAAGCTTCCCTACATCTTATTTACCTGAGTGGAATGAGAATGTTGCCTTTATTCAGAGCAAGGTATTATCGCTGTAGATGAACCCTGGAGAAAAAGGGAGGTGACAGTCTTAATTTCTGGATTAAGAATGATGCTATGCTGGCTGCAGTTGATTGTGTCTTAAAAGTAAGAGTAAGTTTGGAGCACTCTGAGGTGTATCCATAGTAATAGGGTGCTGGTGATTACTTTGTTCTTGAGCTGCAAATTTTAATTAAAAACTGCTGACCTGTCCAGTTTAGGTCTGTGCTGGGGCAGACATTACTTGATGTAACTTTTGATATTTTTGCTATGAAAACTCGCTGCCAAATAAGATCCCTCCATTGTTCATTATGTGTTCATATTAAAATACATATTCAAATTGACTTTCAGTGAATTATTAGTATCAATATGTTTGCTCAACACTGCAGTTACTCTTTCTGTTTTGTCTGCATGTTCACCCTGAATGGGTGAACCACCTACAGGGAAGACTAACAGTTTCTTTTTTGATAGGATCGCAAAAGTGGTCGTTCAGCTTTACATTTGGCAGCAGAAGAAGCAAACCTGGAGCTCATTCGTCTCTTTTTAGAGCTGCCCAACTGCCTGTCTTTTGTTAATGCAAAGGTACAGTGATTTTTCTGGAATGCAGATATAATCTGGGGTGTGCATGTGTGTGGCACTGTGAGTGTCCGGAGGCTAATGCCCTGCCTTTACTTCATGGACTTACTTTGTCTTCTTCAGGCTTATAATGGCAACACAGCACTCCATGTGGCTGCCAGCCTGCAGTATCGGGTGAGTCAGTTGGATGCTGTGCGTCTGCTCATGCGCAAGGGAGCTGATCCAAGTGCCAGGAACCTGGAGAATGAGCAGCCAGTTCATCTGGTTCCTGATGGCCTTGTAGGAGAACAGGTAATAAAAACATCAAACAGCCTTCTCCTTTGCTCCCATCTGTCCCCATCTACAGAAAAGCCATATTCCTCTCTGAATTTCGGTTTTTGAGTTACAGCTTTTGTGGAAAATGCATAGCAAACACAATTTTACTCGTGGATCTTTGCCTTAAAAAGTTAGGATCAGGGAAACTGTACAAAGACCTGGAATTACAAATTTCACTTTTTTTTTCCATCTCAAAAGCTTTTTCCTGTCAAGATAGGATTTTTCTTTGTAACCTTGCAACATATTGGAGTGTAATACACCTTCTCTTGTTCATTTCAGTATGGCCCAAGATTGTACTACTGTTGCTCGTCATAATTAGTAATGGCAGTTCTTAGGCCCGAGTAACAGGTGAAGAAAATCCCTCTTTCCTAGGAGCTACACAAATACATGATGAAAATGGTGACTCTTGACCTAAGTAGCTAATAACTTAAGCAACTGAGTAATTCTTTTGCTTTTCATTGATTCAAATGCTGTAAAATTGGATCAATTCTGGAGTAACTGGGCTCAGATAAATGAGGAATGCAGAACTTGGTCTAGGGTTGGGGTTGTTTTTCAGATTGACTCATGTTAGGATGATGAATGCTAATATATTTGTCTTTCTTGTCTCCAGATAAGACGTATCCTAAAAGGGAAGGCGATTCAGCAGAGGGCGTCCCCATTTTAAGCTCCATGTTCCTTGGAGTTCAGCAACTCACACTCACTGTCAGTCAGGCAGTCCTACTATATCTGTAAATAGACCATTTGCCTGGTGTGGGCAAATGTTAGTTGTTTCTATGAAACAAAATTTTTTTGTTCACTATCATATAGTGGGTTATATAAGAATTAAATAAAAAAAAAACCAACAAACTAAACCAAAACCTAACAATCAAATTCCTCTGAGTAAATGGGAATGTTTCATTCCCAGGTATGTGGAATATTTGCCTGGATACCTGGATTTCCTAGCTATGGCAAGTCTAATTTTACAGTCTGAGACATGTCAACGTTGCAGAGCTTTTTTTTTTTTTCTCACTTAAAACATTAAGTGCAAAAGAAATTAAATATTTTTAATTTGAACATTTATTTATGTAACTTTGTAGCTTTCTTCCAATAGCTCATGCAGGATTGTACATGGTCACTGTCATTATTTGTACAGCTGTATATAGTTCTAAGAATCCACTGATCATTTGGGGAATGAACTGAAGAAACAAGTTCCTTTATCTTGAACTTGCCAATTGCATGTAGAGTTTTGATGCTACACTAGTGCAAACAGAATTCTGTTGTTTTGAAAGGCTGAAAATCAAAAGTACCGTTACAGTACATAGCATTGATTTGTGTGTGCCTTTGGAGTTCTTAATGAAACACAAAAAGTTCAGAGGACTGCATCAGTTTTTTGTGTACCCAGGAGGTTTTTCTTTTGATGGGACAATAGACTGAGGGAGAAAGATCATGACTTCAGTAGTCTGTGTATAACTTTATTGTACTTCAGAGAGTATGATCTTGATTCAGTGAAAGTATTTAGCATGTACTTAACTGTTGATGCATGCTGAAATATCTCCATATTAATTGTAATACTTCAACATGTATAAGCCTTGCTAATTTCAGTAGGACTTGAGCACATGCTTAAGTAGTCTGCTAAACTGGGCTCTGGTTAATTTTAGAGACTTGGTGTTTTTCACCTTCTAAGCAGAGTTAGTCCATTTATGGTTTTACCTTATAGGTATGGTAGCTAGCCAAGTAATATTTGAACTTGATGTTTTTCCATTTTTTAATAATTATGGGTATTAATGCAAAATGTACACTTATGATGCTCTATACTTGTGTTCTGTTGGAGAAAGCTTCTCCCTGTCACTTTCTGAATGATGATGCTGGGCTGTAATCCAGTAACATGTTCTCTGTATGGTCTATGGTCTTTGCTCTTAAACTGGTTTTGCCTCACACGCACTTCTCTGTCCTAACAGTTCAGTCTGATAGTGCTGTTTTGACAAAGTATGTCTTGTATACAAGCTAAGTAAAAAAAAAAAAAAAATCTGATATGCAGAGACTTAATTGCAATGTATTTCCTGAAGGTTCTCATGTAACTTGTGATTGAATAAACATGCTAATTAAATTTTGGTGGCTACTGTCTGTGATACAAATGATAATGAAATCAAGCTTGACAGAGAAGTGTTTTAGCAAGGTAATCCTGTTGGACTGGTGAATGTTCATCCTGCTGTTTAATGCTTTCTCTTGTTTGATGCTGGTTTTGAAGCTGGTACTTTGGTGTTTTGGATCATACACCATGCAGTTGTATTACCTCTGTATTTAGTACATGTGCCCTAGAGTTAATAGTCACCAGGTTGCTGAAATTGCAGGTTGTGACCTGAACACTTCTCCCTGTATACGTGAGTGAGAGCAGCTCTGACAATGTCGTGTTTCCCCACGACTTCCTTGCCTTGGTCCTCAATTCTTACAGCTCAGGTACAAGCAGTTGCCCTAGGATGGGTGGAAGTCTGCATAAGCAAATGAGAGTATACACATGGTGAAAGACTGCTTGCTTCACACATTAAAAAATGGTCTGAGCTGGCCATGACCTTTCAGGAGGAAGAACTGCCATCACAGACCATCCCTGCTGAGCACTGTGCTGGTGGCATGGCAACGGTCAAGAAAAGCTGGTGAAGCTTTAGGATATGAAGGAAAGGACTGAAGAGAAATGAGTGCTTCTGTGCTACTGTATAAACCTGTTGTTCACCCCTGCTTCACTGTTTTTTGTGGTTAGGGTGTCCTGTCAGATCAAAATGTTTTAGGATTGGAAGAGGCTCAGAGGTGTGGAGGATGCTCCTTGCAGGGAGCATCAGAGCAAGCTAGGGCTCTTCAGTTGCAAAAGTGATGTCTGACAGCAGGTATGACAGGCCTTCAGAGTCATGTCAGGCCAGTGAAACCGGATTGGGATGTACTACTCACTGTCCCTTCCAGTATGGGTGCTGGAGGCTGTTAATGAAGGTACTGAGTGCAAAACAGACAGGATGTTTCCTTGAGATAGTAGAAGAATGTGGCAGAAACAAGACTTTTGCAGGTTCAGGGAGGGCATGGGTGTATATTTAGAAGGAGGGTATTTTTGTGGAGAGTCACAAGAAAAACCATGTGAGGCAGTCCTCTCTGAAAGGGTGAAGTACTGTACTACAGGCTTGCCCTGCTCTCAGGGACTTGCTAATGGATGCTCTCACAGACTTGATACCAGAGTGGATTATAACCTGCGCTCAGATCCTTGCAGTTAGGCTTTTAGTGGTTCATGAGTTCAGTCTGGTTCCACTGATACTGGTTGCACCTTTCATAAGAAGAAAATGTTGGAAATTCATCTTGCAGCCAGTTGAACCCTTCCTGATCCTTTGCTTGAGTGCAAAAACATGTCCCTGCAAGTCTCAAAAATGGCATTTGGTGCTGAGGTAAGGTGAAGAGGCTGAAGGTTGTTTAGTAGATGAGAGTGAGAAATGATGATAGAGACTGGAAATAGAACTGAATTCCTAGTTAAGGTTTGCAAAGGTTAAATGGCACTTCTATGTGAACAGCTAATTAGGCCTAAATTGTGTTGAAGATGTTATCTGCACCTCTCACTGCAAGTGACCCTGCTGCAGGGTTTTTGGTTTGGTTTGACTTTTTTTGTGGGTTTGGTTTTGTTTGCTTTTTTTGTGGGTTTGTTTGTTTTGGTTTTTGTTTTTGTTTTTGTTTTTTTGCTATGATACACTTGATAGTACTGCTTCCGTTTCACTCCCATTTTCTTTATAGGAAGTGATACAGGAAAAAGAATTGCTGATGGGATATTCGGGCCCTTCAGATCAGCCAGATGCCTGGCATTCCTTTTTTGGGTGGTGTTGACTGAGTTATCTCACAAAGGAAGGAAGTACCTTGAGTCTGTAAGGGTGGCAGAGCAAAAGCATGAGTTCAGACAATCCTTGAGCATGATATAGGCTCTGCTGGTGAGAGGCATTTAGCAAGTAGCACAGTGTCAAGTGGCTTTCAGTGGCACTCATGCCCTTCTGGAAGGGGTGCTCCTGGCACTCCAAGTTAGGAAATTCCTAAGGAGACACTGAAGTCTTTGAAGTTCATTTAACCTGCCAAGAGCCTAAATTCATTGTCTCAAGAGCTCAGTAGGCAACTTCACAAAAAAGTATCTCTACTCTGAGTGTAATTGACTCATGTTTCTCCTCTCTGATATTGGGAAGTTCTGGCCTATCTGCCATGATAGAACTAGATCGGAAATAATCCCCTTTCACTGAAGGGTAAGTGACACTAAGTATTTAGTAGGTTGGTAGTATTTACCTGAAAAACTCATGGTGCTGGGAAAGTGCTGAATAACTTTTATTGATGTGGATGTCAGCACACTAGTTACTTTTCTGGCTGGAGCAGAGGCAGAAGAGACTCTGGCTTGGGTCCAAGTAGGAATATTAAGACACATGGAGCTTTGTTCCCAGAATGTTTCTGATTTGTTTGTCTAAGTAAGCCAAAAAAGGCAACCCAAAAGGGTTGCTTTTTTATTTTTGTGGGCTACTCATCTGGCTGGAGTTGTGGAAGGCAGCAATCCACAATTTAAAAGAAACGTGTTCTGCTTCTGGGGATGGAAAAATACAATTTCCCACATTTATTGCTCATTTTATAATTTTATCAGAAAAGAAAAACATAGCCAGGAAGTGCACTCTTACAGAAATTGGGTGTGGTAAAAGCGACTGCAAAGATAGGACACGAACTGCTTGTTCTTCTTGCCTGATAGTTTGCTTATCTGGTTGCCTTTCTTTCCAAAATATAGGTGCTCCCCTGTGTAAGGGAAATGCTGAGGGTGGTTAAAGTGCAGTGAACATGGGAAAATAAAGAATGGGTTTCTGCAGTTATGTATTTGCCAAAAATTGACCTTGATTTTCAGTGCATTCAAAACGAATTCTTCTGTTGCTATCTATTACCTTTCTTAAGTGTTTGGTGGTGATATTGGCCTGAGATACTGGTGCCTTGGGAGAGTCAAAACTGAC